CAACATATTAGTAAGAGTACTGTGTTCAAAAGAAGATATTAGATGAAATAAGGGTTTTCTAATACAATCAATGACGTGATTGCTTTGTCATCATACATAACTCATTTATCGAAAAATCATAGGGAAGAGCCGAGCAAGAGAAAAATAATTTATTATGATAATCTGTACCTTGACTAAAAATTTGTTCATAATTATATATATTTCTAACATTTTAATTTGATTTAAAGATTTTTACTGTATTACTTAAATATTTTTAAAAGTAACTTATAAATTTGTAGCTTCCTTGTTATTTACTTTTTTTTATTAAGATATGAAAAAATGCAATGCCAAAAAATAATTCGATCAAGTTGATAATTGGAGGAGTTTGGTTTTATACGATCAAACTTGTATATTAGACGCATTGGCAAATATTTTTCACCTAACTTCGCCTTGCCGTGCTTCTTTAAGCTACAAAGAAAATTTATACATTTCATTCAATAAACAAATTCCAAATTCACAAAAAACTGTACCAATAATAATAAATCTAATAAAATCTACTTTATTGAGTTTGGATAAATAATTCAAAAATCTTTTGGTATTATATCTATCTTATAACATAAACTTTAAAATTATTTAAGTAACCAACTAAAACAAAATAAAAAATTAAGAAATTTAAATAAATTTAACATCCCTCAAAGAAAAATTAATACTTGTTAAATTCAAAATCAAAAAAAAATTTGAAGCAGCACAAACAATAATACTTAAAATTTATGATTTTATTGTAAACATATATTTTCAACTACTTAAACTTATCAAAACAGTCGGTGTAAATGAAAACTTATCGCAACTTTTAAGACCGTTGCAAGATTGCCTCAAATTACATAATTGCATAAAAAAAAAAGTTTCATATAAAGAAGTAATAATTCTTAGCAATAAAAATAATTTACCCACTGAATAAAACATTACGCTTCATTTTCCGTGAAACAACGATTTAAAAGAAAGTTCATGATCAACTTATATTGGCATATCGAAGTTAAGTTGTGCCTTTTGTCATCGTTACCTTTCATATAACTTTTACGACCACAGAGGAACACACGGAATAGCTGACTTTAAATGGAAAATGAACTTAGAAAGTCCTCAATTTGAAAACTACAGAGAAATATTTAAAAAATCAGTTGGTTTAAATCCTGAAGAAGAAATACTTCAATATAGATCGATTTCAACAGACAATTTATACGAATCTATATATGTAGAAGAAATTGGAGAGAACTTAACTAGTATCAAACGGTCATTATTTATATAATATTATCATGTATATATATATAAATATATATATATATATATATATATATATATATTTATATTTATATATATATATATATATATATATATATATAAATGTATATACATATATAAATATATATGTATATATATATATATATATATATATATATATATATATATATATATAAATGTATATACATATATAAATATATATGTATATATATATATATATTAGTATATATATATATATATATATATATATATATATATATATATATATATATATATATATATATAAATATATATATATATATATATATATATATATATATATATATATATATATATATATATATATATATATATATATATATATATATATATATATATATATATAATCTGTACCTTGATTAAAAATTTGTTCATAATTATATATATTTTTAACATTTTAATTTGATTTGAATATTTTTTAATGAATTACTTAAATATTTTTAAAAGTAACTTTTAAATTTGTAGCATCCTTGTTATTTACTTTTTTTTATTAAGATATGAACAACTGGAATGCCAAAGTAAGTTTCGATCGAGTCGATAATTGGAGGAGTTTTGTTTTATACGATCAAACTTGTATATTAGACGCATTGGCAAATATTTTTCACCTAACTTCGCCTTGCTGTGCTGCTTTAAGCTACAAATAAAATTTATACATTTCATTCAATAAACAAATTCCAAATTCACAAAAAACTGTACCAATAATGATAAATCTAATAAAATCTACTTTATTGAGTTTAGATGAATAATTCAAAAATCTTTTGGTATTATATCTATCTTATAACATGAACTTTAAAATTATTTAAGTAACCAACTAAAACAAAATAAAAAATTAAGAAATTTAAATAAATTTAACATCCCTCAAAGAAAAACTAATACTTGTTAAATTCAAAATCAAAAAAAAATTTGAAGCAGCACAAACAATAATACTTAAAATTTATGATTTTATTGTAAACACATATTTTCAACTACTTAAACTTATAAAAACAGTCGGTGTAAATGAAAACTTATCGCAACTTTTAAGACCGTTGCAAGATTGCCTTAAATTACATAATTGCATAAAAAAAAAAAGTTTCATATAAAGAAGTAATAATTCTTAGCAATAAAAATAATTTACCCACTGAATATAACATTACGCTTCATTTTCCGTGAAACAACGATTTAAAAGAAAGTTCATGATCAACTTATATTGGCATATCGAAGTTAAGTTGTGCCTTTTGTCATCGTTACCTTTCATATAACTTTTACGACCACAGAGGAACACACGGAATAGGTGACTTTAAATGGAAAATGAACTTAGAAAGTCCTCAATTTGAAAACTACAGAGATATATTTAAAAAATCAGTTGGTTTAAATCCTGAAGAAGAAATACTTCAATATAGATCGATTTCAACAGACAATTTATACGAATCTATATATGTAGAAGAAATTGGACAGAACTTAACTAGTATCAAACGGTCATTATTTATATAATATTATCATGTATATATATATAAATATATATATATATATATATATATATATATATATATATATATATATATATATATATATATATATATATATATATATATATATATAAATGTATATACATATATAAATATATATGTATATATATATATATATATATATATATATATATATATATATATATATAAATGTATATACATATATAAATATATATGTATATATATATATATATATTAGTATATATATATATATATATATATATATATATATATATATATATATATATATATATATATATATATATATATCTATATATATATCTATATATATATATATATATATATATATATATATATATATATATATATATATATATATATATATATATATATATATATATATATATATATATGTATATATATATATATATATATATATATATATATATATATATATATATATATATATATATATATATATATATATATATATATATATATATATATATATATATATATATAATCTGTACCTTGATTAAAAATTTGTTCATAATTATATATATTTTTAACATTTTAATTTGATTTGAAGATTTTTTAATGTATTACTTAAATATTTTTAAAAGTAACTTATAAATTTGTAGCATCCTTGTTATTTACGTTTTTTTATTAAGATATGAACAACTGGAATGCCAAAGTAAGTTTCGATTGAGTCGATAATTGGAGGAGTTTTGTTTTATACGATCAGACTTGTATATTAGACGCATTGGCAAATATTTTTAAACTCACTTCGCCTTGCTGTGCTGCTTTAAGCTACACAGAAAATTTATACATTTCATTCAATAAACAAATTCCAAATTTACAAAAAACTGTATCACTCATAATAAATCTAATAAAATCTACTTTATTGAGTTTGGATGAATAATTCAAAAATCTTTTGGTATTATATCTATCTTATAACATGAACTTTATAAATTATTTAAGTAACCAACTAAAACATGTTCTATTATTATGTTGGTGAATTGTACGTGTTAGAAATCACGTAGATGCGTGTTGAAAGTCACGCATCTACGTAATTAACAGTGTATTCTCATGGGCCTTTTTAATTTAATATATATAGAGAAAAGATTTTTGTATAGCATGTTAGAAAGAATATATAAAGCTATAGATTATAAACGTTATTAAATTAAATGGATGCGACGATAAAACAAGCTATTTCGGCCATTATGCCACCGGTATTCGATGGCAACCATCAGCGGTTCGCCCGCCAACTACGAACTTACATAACTGCGATGGACGTACCCGAATCCAAATAAAAAACAGTAATATTAACATGTTTGCCATCACAGATTTATTCCGCACTAGAAGATCTATGCCTGCCTGCATACCCTGAAGATGACTCAGTTACCTACGAAGACATCGAGGAAAACATCATGAAGCTTTTAAAACCGAAGTCATCGTTAATACTACGCTTTGAATTTGCAACTATAAAAAAAGCAGGTAACGAAAATGTGACGGAATTTTCACGACGGATTACAAGAGCTGCTGAAGGATGCAAATTCATGGATAGAGATGATCGATTGCGCGATCAATTCATCACGGATTTTAACGATGGTGTTACAATCAAACGGTTACTACTGGAATCTGAAGAACTAACTTTTAAAAAGGCTGTGGAAATAGCTGTTACCCTTGAACGAGTAACCCAGGAAGCTCGACAATTAGATGGTTCCGAGAATGTAATGATTGGCGCAACATCGTTACTTTCACGGACGTCTGGTGCGTCCGACATAAACAAAGTTAAATGTTTCAATTGTGGAAAACTTGGACATTTTGCAAGAGACTGCGAAGAAAAATGCAAGACTTTTTTACACGATCATCAAGCTAAAAACTGCTTTAAACGATTGCAAGGTTTAAAAGGAAAAGGGAGAATCTGGAAATAATGGCATTCAGTATTCTCCCAGAAATGACGTTGCCATCATTAAAAGTAAAAATAAATGGAAGGCTCCGAACAGCATTAATTGATTCTGGATGCTCCATTACTGTGGTTCATGCTGAGTCCGCGCATGGGCTTGTGTTAAAAAGTCAAAAACTTATCACAACTTTGGGAGGAACTGTGCAAGTGCTGGGTGAAATGGTAATCAATCTGGAAACTGATGGAATACACCGGATGGTTAATACTCTGGTTGTAAAAAAAAACCATTTGGGTTTGATTTGATTTTTGGAATGAATGCAATTAAAAAATTTGGAGGAGTTATCATTTATGGTAATAAAAACTGTAACGTCCGAATGTTAGCATGTGACAAAGCGAAATGTGGTGCCGTTACTACGACGAGAAAAAACGAAAACGAAATAAACGAATTAAAAATTGATGTTATTAATACGACAAGAAAAAGCGAAAACGAATTACAAAAAATAAAATGTGATGTCAAAAATACAACAAGAAATGAAGAGAACGAAAGAAACGAAATAAAACATCAGGACTTCACAGCAAAGTTCGACGGAAAAAAATGGACGGCATCATGGAACTGGAATAAAAAGCCTGTAATTGATAATACCATTTGTGAATACAAGATGAACCAAGAGCACGAACGTAGTTACCGTAAAGAAATAAGTGAATGGATTGACTCTGGTATTATTGTGCCATATAACGAACTAATATTGGGACCACCAAAAGTATTGATACCGCTTATGTGCGTAGTGCAAGAAAACAAGGACAAAAAGGTACGTCCAGTGGGAGATTTCCGAGCTCTCAACGAATTTGTAAATTGTCATACGGCAAATGCGGACGTTTGTCAAGAAAAACTGCGTTGCTGGAGAAAAATAAAAAATGCAAATATTCTCGATCTCAAAAAAGCCTACCTCCAAATTCATATTGATAAAAAACTTTGGCCATATCAAACGGTGATTATAAATGGGCAACGGTATTGTTTTACCAGGATGTGTTTTGGCATCAATGTGGCTCCAACAATAATGACCACAATTCTTCGGCATGTGCTCAATTTAAATCCAACCGTAAAAAAAACATGTAATAACTACATTGATGATATATTTGAGGATGAAAGTGTGGAAACTGCGAAAAATGTAGCGAAGCATCTGCTTAAATTCGGATTACAATGTGAACCTCCACAAGATCTTGAACAAGGACGTGTCTTAGGATTGAGAGTCGAAAGAAATAAAAATGGGGAACTGATATGGAAACGAGACAATGTGGTACAATTCGAATCTTTAAATGCAGTCACACGATCACAGCTTTTCAGCCAGTTAGGCAAACTTATTGGACATTACCCAGTGGCAGGAAGTTTGCGTTTACAAGCTTCATACATCAAACGTTTAGCTGGAAATATACCTTGGTGTGATTTTATTTCTAAAGATTGTAAAGAAAAACTGAAAGAGTTGCTTTACCGTGTGGAAAAAGAGGATCCGGTTGGTGGAAAATGGCTGGTACCAGTTAATGGAAAAGCCTAGCTTTATTGTGATGCATCATCTATAGGACTTGGGGTAGTTCTGCTCATTGGTGGAGTAGTTGTTGAAGACGCAGTATGGCTACGGCCAGCGAGTGACACACACCATATCAATATAAGTGAACTGGATTCTATACTTCGAGGACTAAACTTAGCTAGTAAGTGGGGCATAAAAGAGTTAACAGTATACAGTGATAGCAAGAGCACCGTAGGATGGTTAAACGCAGTTTTGAAGGAAGAATATCGCGTAAAAACTCGAGGAATTTCTCAATTGTTAGTACAAAGACGATTGAATACTATTAAGGAAGTGGCAAAAGATATTCAGATTGCAGTACAATGGATTCCATCTAAGATAAATTTGGCTGATCGACTCTCACGAATCCCTCAAAAATGGTGCAGAAAAGTGTGTGCAGCTGGATTACTTGAACAAAAAGACATATGGAAAATTCATTCAATTGGTCATTTTGGTGTTGCTCGAACATTACAACTTTGCTTGCGAAATAATCAGAATGTATCACGTAAGGAGGTTTCAGCAGTAATTGCGAGTTGTGTAACCAGTGTAACTCCATTGATCCTTACTCCGTAAAGTGAAAGAATGGCCAACTAAGCGTAGAAAAAAGTTGGAATCGGGTTGCCATTGACGTGACGCATGTAGGTGCTGAACTGTACTTATCAATGATTGACTGTGGTCCATCACGGTATACAATATGGCGTAAACTTGTAACTAAAGCAGCTGCTGAAGTTGTTGGTAGACTCGAAGAAATATTCTCTTTATTTGGTCAGCCAGTATGCCTTCTAATGGACAACGAATTTCGGTCCAACACGTTAACAAGTTTTGCTGAAGAATGGCATGTTAATTTGGAATATCGAGCAGCACATCGAGCTCAAGGTAATGGAATAGTTGAACGTATACACAGAACGATAAAAAGAACGGTCGCTCGCTCACATTGTTCAATCGCTCTGGCAGTCTTGCTGTACAACGAGACAATATCATCCAATTGTACTGAAAGTCCATCCAAGCAATTCAAGAAAAGATCGACATGTTTCATCCCAGGCGTCGATACTCGGAGGAAGGTAGACGAGAAAGGCGTAAGCAAGAAATTTAAAGTGGGTGACAATGTTTGGGTAAAACCAACTCAAGAAACAAAATGTGACCAGCCGTGGATACCAGGCGTAGTACGAAAGCAAAATACTTTGTCGTTTGACGTGGAAACTGCAAATCGGGTATATCCGCGTCACATTTCACACCTGCGTCGCCGTACAGACGTACAGAATTCAAATGAATCAGTCAACGATGTTTTTAATAGACTAAAAGATAAAACTGATAACGTTAAAGGAAGATATAATGATAATGTCGCTCAAGTTCAAAATGATTCTCAAGAACTCAACGTGCTGCAAGTAACACGCTCCGGACGAACAGTAAAGCCCCCACAAAGATTAGACTTATGAGTTAACTCACCAAGAGGGCATGTTCTATTATTATGTTGGTGAATTGTACGTGTTAGAAATCACGCATATGCGTGTTGAAAGTCACGCATCTAAGTAAGTTATTTCCACTGTAATTAGCACTATATTCTCATGAGACTTTTTAATTTAATATATATAGAGAAAAGATTTTTGTATAGCATGTTACAAAGAATATATAAAGCAATAGATTATAAACGTTAATAAACTAAATAAACGCGACGATAAAACAAAACATAAAAAAAAATAAAGAAACAAATTTTAAATTTAAAAAAATTTAACATCCCTCAAAGAAAAACTAATACTTGTAAAATTCAAAATCAAAAAAATATTTGAAGCAGCACAAACAATAATACTTAAAATTTATGATTTTATTATAAACACATATTTTCAACTACTTAAACTTATAAAAATACTCAGTGTAAATGACAACTTATCGCAACTTTTAAGACCGTTGCAAGATTGCCTCAAATTATATAATTGCATAAAAAAAAAAGTTTCATATAAAGAAGTAATAATTCTAAGCAATAAAAATAATTTACACGCTGAATATAACATTACGCTTCATTTTCCGTTAAACAACGATTTAAAAAAAAGTTCATGATCAACTTATATTGGCATATCGAAGTTAAGTTGTGCCTTTTGTCATCGTTACCTTTCATATAACTTTTACGACCACAGAGGAACACACGGAATAGCTGACTTTTAATGGAAAAAGAAATTAGAAATCCCTCAATTTGAAAATTACAGAGAAATATATAAAAATTCATTGGTTTAAATCCTGAAAAAGAAATACTTCAATATAAATCGATTTCAACAGACAATTTATACGAATCTATATATGTAAAAGAAATTGGAGAGACCTTAACTAGTATCAAACGGTCATAATTAGTATAATATTATCATGTATATATATATATATATATATATATATATATATATATATATATATATATATATATATATATATATATATGTATATACATATATATATATATATATATATATATATATATATATATATATATATATATATATATATATATATATATATATTTATAATCTATACCTTAAATAAAAATTTGTTCATATTTATATATATTTCTAACATTTAAATTTTATTTGAAAACTTTTTGCGGTATTACTTAAATATTTTTAAAAGTAACTTATAAATTTGTAGCTTCCTTGTTATTTACTTTTCTTATAAAGATATGAACAACTGCAATGCCAAAGTATGTTTAGATCGAGTCGATATTTGGAAGAGTTTTGTTTTATACGATCAAACTTGTATATTAGGCGCATTGGCAAATTATTTTCACCTCACTTCGCCTTGCTGTGCTGCTTTAAGCTACAAAGAAAATTTATACATTTCATTCAATAAACAAATTCCAAATTCACAAAAAACTGTACCAATAATGATAAATCTAATAAAATCTACTTTATTGAGTTTGGATAAATAATTCAAAAATCTTTTGGTATTATATCTATCTTATAACATGAACTTTATAAATTATTTAAGTAACCAACTAAAACATGAAAAAAATAAAGAAATTTAAATAAATTAAACATCTCTTAAAGAAAAACTAATACTTGTAAAATTTAAAATCAAAAAAAAAATTGAAGCAGCACAAACAATAATACTTAAAACATATGATTTTATTGTAAACACATAGTTTCAGCTACTTAAACTTATAAAAACAGTCAGTGTAAATGACAACTTATCGCAATTTTTAAGACGGTTGCAAGATTGCCTCAAATTACATAATTGCATGAAAAAAAAAGTTTCATATAAAGAAGTAATAATTCTTAGCAATAAAAATAATTTAAACGCTGAATATAACATTACGCTTCCTTTTTCTGTTAAACAACGATTTAAAAAAAGTTGATGATCAACATTATATTAGCATATCAAAGTTAAGTTGTGCCTTTTGTCATCGTTACCTGTCATATAACTTTTACGACCACAGAAAAACACACGGAATAGCTGACTTTAAATGGAAAATGAATTTAGAAAGTCCTCAATTTGAAAACTACAAAGATATATTTGAAAATTCAGTTGGTTTAAATCCTGAAGAAGAAATACTTCAATATAGATAGATTTTAACAGACAATTTATACGAATCTATATATGAAGAAAAAATTGGAGAGACCTTAACTAATATCAAACGGTCGTTATTTATATATTATTATCATGTATATATATATATATATATATATATATATATATATATATATATATATATATATATATATATATATATATATATATATATATATATATTTAAATATATATATCTGTACCTTGATTGAAAAATTTGTTCATAATTATATATATTTCTAACATTTTAATTTGATTTGAAGTTTTTTTACTGTATTACTTAAATATTTTTAAAAGTAATATATGAATTTGTAGCTTCCTTGTAATTTACTTTATTTTATTAAGATATGAACAACTGCAATGCCAAAAAATGTTTCGATCGAAGCGATAATTGGAGGAGTTTCGTTTTATACGATCAAACTTGTATATTAGACGCATTGGCAAACATTTTTAATCTCACTTCGCCTTACTGTGCCGCTTTAAGCTACAAGAAAATTTATACATTTCATTCAATAAACAAATTCCAAATTCACAAAAAACTGTACAACTCATAATAAATCTAATAAAATCTACTTTATTGAGTTTGGATGAATAATTCAAAAATCTTTCGGTATTATATCTATCTTATAAAATGAACTTTATAAATTATTTAAGTAACCAACTAAAACAAGTAAAAAATAAAGAAATTTAAATAAATTAAACATCTCTTAAAGAAAAACTAATACTTGTAAAAATCGAAATCAAAATGTAATTTAAAGATGGACAAACAATAATACATAAAATTTATGATTTTATTGTAAACACATAATTTCAACTACTTAAACTTATCAAAACAGTCGGTGTAAATGACAACTTATCGCAACTTTTAAGACCGTTGCAAGATTGTCTAACATTACATAATTGCATAAAAAAGAAAAGTTTTATATAAAGAAGTAATAATTCTTAGCAATAAAAATAATTTAGACGCTGAATATAACATTACGCTTTATTTTCCGTTAAACAACGATTTAAAAAAAAGTTGATGATCAACTTATTTTGGCATACCGATGTTAAGTTGTGCCTTTTGTCATCGTTACCTGTCATATAACTTTTACGACCACAGAGGAACACACGGAATAGCTGACTTTAAATGGAAAATGAACTTAGAAAGTCCTCAATTTGAAAACTACAGAGATATATTTTAAAAATCAGTTGGTTTAAATCCTGAAGAAGAAATACTTCAATATAGATCGAGTTTGACAGACAATTTATACGAATCTATATATGGAGAAAAAATTGGAGAGACCTTAACTAATATCAAACGGTCGTTATTTATATAATATTGTCACGTATATATATATATATATATATATATATATATATATATATATATATATATATATATATATATATATATATATATATATATATATATATATATATGTATATATATGTATATATATATATATATATATATATATATATATATATATATATATATGTATATATATATATATATATATACATATATATATATATATATATATATATATATATATATATATATAAATATATATATATATATATATATATATTTATATACATATATATATACATATATATAATATATATATATATATATAATATATATATATATATATATATATATATATATATATATATATATATACATATATATATCTGTACCTTGATTAAAAATTTGTTCATAATTATATATATTACTAACATTTTAATTTGATTTGAAGATTTTTTACTGTATTACTTAAATATTTTTAAAAGTAACTTATAAATTTGTAGCTTCCTTTTTATTTACTTTTTTTTATTAAGATATGAACAACTGCAATGCCAAAAAATAATTCGATCAAGTCGATAATTGGAGGAGTTTCGGTTTATACGATCAAACTTGTATATTAGACGCATTGGCTAAGATTTTTCACCTAACTTCGCCTTGCTGTGCTTCTTTAAGCTACAAAGAAAATTTATACATTTCATTCAATAAACAAATTCAAAATTCACAAAAAACT